TTTTGCTTATTCAGCTTACGTGTGACGTCATAGTTGGTTTTTCCCGTACTCGGGAAATGTAAACACGACACGTTTTTGTCATGCTTGTGTCTTCTTTAACGATGTCCTGTGCAATATTGAGGTCAGCTTCACCATTTGAAATTTTTACAGTTAATCAATAATGTGAAGGACTTGCATTTCAACGTAAATTTTAAAATATTGAATGATAGAATTTTTTGCAAATTTAGTTTTTTGTTGTTTAAGTTGTTTTAAAAAGTACGAAATTTTCCCTATCCAGATGCAGTGTGACAGAAGAAATTTGCTTTTTCGAATTTTAAACCCTATCCATACTCTGAAATATTTTAAAAGATACATGTCCCCTTAAATATTTTTTATCTATGCTTAAAAAAATCCAATTATGGACAGAGTAATGGACCCGAAAACATGGAGAATTAAAACTCCACTTAGATACTGTAAGGCATAGTATTTGTCAATCAATATCTCTAAAATAAGGTAAGAAAACTAATGATTTAACTGCTTTAAGATATGTGGGACATACTTAATTAGAAATATACAAAATATGAAAAAAAATTAAATGACGGGATTTTTTTTAGTCCAAGGTCCTTCACCTCCTTAATGTCAATGATAATGATTTGTGGAATGAAAAATCCATATGTTTCAATAATTTTATCTTTTTCATCGCTTAAACAACTTGGAAGTTCTGAAACCAATTTCAGCGTGACAGAAATATGTAGGCAAGATATCATCTTGCCGTGTTATTCGGTCCCGCTATGACCACTGACCCCCTAGCTAATAAGTTCATGCAGAATCGAACTTATTTTCTCTTCAATAGGTTCATCTATGAAAAATTGTCGCAAATGTAAATATTAAGTGTTCACTATAGTTCATGACATTGTTATGGCTTTATTCTGTAGGGATTCCGGAGGTGAAGTTGTTTTATACCATGAAATTCAAAAGGAAGTTGTTCCTCTTCATCCAAATATACTAAACACCCAAATATATTTGAAATAAAATTCAAAGAAGAACCTGAAGTATTCCAAAATTTACGACAAAGTAGAAGTCATAATGATAGGTCACTCATTTGACTAAAGCATTGGCATTTACTTTCAAAAGATTTTATGTGCATGTTAAAGGATGTATTTCTTCATTTTGAACTTCGTAAGTTCAAGCAGACTAGAATTGATGTATATACTTTTTCTTGCCCCTAGGAACTTGTCGTATAAGTAGCCTGTATCTCCCTTCTAACTAAATCCATCATTGTAAGTGTTCCTGATTAAAAAAAAAAACATTGCAAGAAAAATGCCTTTTGACTATGATGCTTAGATGAAAGTTTCAATGTAAATCATTATATAAGTATTGCAAAAAGTCATTCAGAAGCCCCATTAGCAATATTTGGTGTTCTGATTGCTTCAACCAAAATACATGAACCAAAGGTATTGTGTGTAGACAAAAATTAAAACTATATTTATATATATGTGTACGGTTCAAAATGCATATTGAAACTGTATTAAAGCCTTTTTGAAAAGCAAGAACACACATCTAGTTAACAATCATACATTTCTTTTAAAATTTGGTACAGCTTTTCGATTCGATTATCTTAGTTTTTTTTTTATATCTGTAGTTCTGATTCGATTTGTATGTTGGGGGTTACTTGATAAAATATGGAGATAACGAACTGCAATCAAGCTCAAAAGTCCATTGAAACAATACAAATCGGAAGCAAAGCAAACACGGACCTTTAAAAACATTAGTGGTGATATCGGGTGCTATGGAAGTTAGCATCCCTTGTCTACCGGTCACACCCGCGGTGTGAACCTTGTCATAATAGGGAAAACAGAAAAATCCGTAGACAATTCAGTGTGTAAATGAAAGCCTAACAATTAGTATGAAAAAAAATCAGTCACCCGTCGACTTAATGATAGATTGTTTTTGCTGACAAGGTTGTATCCACCATAGAACTTGCGAATTGTTGACTTCAAAGACAGATTATATTCATTACACGCACCTACACTCACATCGTTAATGCCTTCCACATTCTCAACTCTTGTCATTTCTCTCTTCAGTTTTTTCCTAAATCCTATACATAGAGCAAATGTTGTAAATAAAATGAAGGTGTGCAAGGCGCGGGCGATCCCCCGCTCTGAGAGAAGACATTTTACAATTCTAAAAGTTCATGAAAAATTATATTTTTCAAAAATTATATTCTTTTACACATTTGCTTCCCATATTTTGTTGAATAAATTATTGACAATTTATTTTTCACTTATGTTTTTAAGGTATGTGAAAAAAAGCTTCATGCATGATTCGAACTCTCTCTAAAGCTCACAGTAATGCGTTAGCCTGAACGCGTTAACCACTACGCTACGAAATCTACTTGGCTTGTTTGGGGTCAGTGTGATTTAAATAAACGAGTTTGTTGATGCGTAATTTTTTTTTCAGAAATGTTCGATTTTCATATAGAATGGGTTCAGACTCCATTTCTTTGAAATATGAAATAGATTTTACATTTACTTTTCCGTCATTTAAATGTTAATGAAGAATGGAGACTTGACCCATTCATATTCAAAATTCATTTTTTGTGACTCTAATAAACCCATTTTCCACTAAATATGCTTTACGGTCAATTTTAAAAATACATTATCAATGAAAAAGTTCTTCAATAAAAGAACTGAATCAAATGTGTTGAAAATGACATTACGGAAAACATTATTTTAAAAAATATATTTTTTCCGTGAACTTTGAAAATTGAAAAATATATTGTCACAGAGCGGGGGATTGTCTTCGCCTTGTACGCCCTCTTTCTTTCAATGTCTACAACAAACAAATTCAAATGATAACTTCAAGGTAACTGTATAAGATAGACAGTTTATTTATAATATTGATTTTCTTCTTATTTGCATTCATTTTTATCGGGATAGGTTTAATTTCAATTGTGATGGTTAAGAACTTAAAACTATGAATTTTTCTTACAGTTTGCAATCTCTATTCATTTTTTTTATGCCATTGTCGAATATTTCTTTTCGGTAAGTAAATTGTGTTTAATGATTTTGTCCAGAAATTTAAAAGGTATTAAAAAAAATACTGTATAACCATATTGAAAAATTATTCTTTATCAAAGAAAAAATGTTTCCTGGACATGTTTTATAAAATATTTACATTATGCATTATTTAACAGATTTTTTAAAGATCCAAGATGTTTTTAAAAGAAACAGACCATAGAAAATTCCTGTTTACTGCCAATTTTTATCATAAAACCGTTTCTACCCTATAACCCTTTAATGGGTCAGCCAAGACCACGTGTCTTGACTTTAAATACAAATAACCCTCAAACATCTAGCGGTCGTTAACTGACCCTCAACACGTACACTTATTTACAAATTGTCTCCAAGCCTCTAACGCATTGAAATGAATTTATGTTTACAAAAACATATCGTATATTAAAACTGAAACTGGAAATTTATAGCAACAAACCAACTGTATACATTATTCGAACTCTTACCGGCTATAACTGCATACACACGCCGCAATAGTCCGCCTTACAAGTTATATATATTACTACCCGTTTAATTCGGTGCTTTATCTCACCGAAATATATTCACCACTTGTATAATCATGCAGGGGATACAGCAAACGTGGCACATCCCCGCTGGTCACTCTACCGGACACCAAACTAGATCTCACCACTCTAACAAAACCGGTCCCTTTAAATTCCAGTATTATAACAACCGCAACAGCTAGTAAGGAATCCCGTTAAAACAAAATTTAAAAAATACTTACAATAGACAAAAAACAATCAATGTTGTCACAGTTTATTAACCCTGTTATTTGCATCATTTTAATGACATTCTCTTCGCTATTTTAAAGGTGAAATTAGTGAACACCATATAAGTTTAAATTCTTCACTACATTTCTATATTGTTGCCTTTGTTATATGAAGTGAAATGGAAGAAAAAAAAAAACCCCACAGATTGTCAACTTTTACATTTAAAAAAGATATTTCCTTTTGCGAGGTCAATCCGGGGTCAAACGGCGTAACACACAGTATTCTCTCTATAATGCTATCAACTTGCTGGAGCAGTGTCTTATAATTTAAATCTGCATATGTATTCAGTATATTTTCTTTCATTTCCCATACTTTGACAATACAGGAAATAACAAAATAATCTGAAAACGTTTGAATGTTTAAAATATTTACAGGTAAGTTACAAAGGATATAGTGAGAAAAATGAGCATTACACTGACAAGTGAGATACCTCTTAAGATCTGACGAAACGTTGCTCGAATGTCCGTTTTGTAACTCTTCCTAAGGAACAATAAATTTAATTAAATAAATGATAATTATCATTATCTTGTGATTTCTAAACTGTTTTCAAAATGTCTTAGTAAATGTTTGTTTGTTTTTATTGTTTAACGTCCCTCTCGAGAATTTTTCACTCATATGGAGACGCCACCACTTGCCGGTGGAGAGCTGCAAATTTTGACTTATACTCGGCACTCAGGGCCATTGAGCAGTGAGGGATATTTTTCGTGCCAGCACCTACTTCGACACGGGACCTCAGTTTATATGGTCTCATCCGAAGGACCGGTCTCCTCGTCCCACAGTGGGATTCGAACCCGCGACGTAAGGATCAATTCCGTACTCCGCGACTCTAGAGCGAACGCTCTAACCACTGCGCCACGCGGGCGACATCTTAGTAAATAAAAACATGAAAAAAATGTGATAGTGTGATTGCTAGTGATTTCCAATAGTGTTATATGGTAAACAATATCCTCTGGTATCTTGCACAAATACCTGGTAAGGTACCTTAATTTTTTGTGAGGAAACTTGCTAAAGTAGCAATACTTTCAATGACTTTTTTGGGGAAAAATCATTCCAGTATTGAGGAACGTATCGTTTGATCTTAGGAATGTGAAAGTCGTCTAAAAGGAAATACATTTTCCAGACAAAAAAATATGAACTTTTAGTTTTCCTATAATCCAGACATACAAGTCTTCCATTTTCACGTGTCTCTACCTCTATTTATTGCATTATCCACCATCACAGAATCGATGAATTGCTCCGTTTGCCGTATTCTTTGGGAGAAATGTTTTCTGTTTAAATTAGCTATTACTATTATTGAGATTATTACGAGGAAAAAACCAACTGATGTTAATATTCCTATCATTATAAAATTCACCGACGAATCCATTTTTTGGGGTCTATATTTTGTTGAATATGTACCTGTTTGAGAAAAAAATAATACCTTAATTAAACTTTTTCTCCACATTTTCAGCTTTGCTATATGCATTGTCTAGAATATTTTAATCAAAAGAAGCTTGCTCTGCATAATGGAACTAAAAACAAACTTAAAAGTGAATGAATATATTATTTTCGATTTTATATATGAATACTTAACATCAAACTTGCTTACTTTTTTGTCTTGTCTGGGCAGTAACAGTGTTGACATTATTATATCTACATTCGTAGGAAATGTTGCACATATGTTCTTCACAATTACATTTGCTTTGACAATCTTCTCCATAGTTTGGGTATCTGCATGGCCATGAACAGTTTATTCCAAAATAACCAGACCTACATTCTTAAATGAAAAAAAGACAAGGTTTTACTATGGAAATTTTCATGCAATTAATATTTTCAAAGTTTCATTTCGATTTTTTTTAGTCTAAATGTTTTCAAAGTTTCATTTCGATTTTTTTAGTCTAAATGGGCGTTGCTGCCTTTATATTTTAACTTTGGTCGCATCTTACGCTGCACAGATATCCAAGAACAGCTTTATTTACAATCTGCATTTGATGTATTTTAAGCCAGCTTTGTTGAGAACAGTTTATTCCATAGAAAACAAAGTAACAATCTTCAATAAGGACAACTTTAGAAACATTGATTGTCCAATCAATTTTTACATTTCAGCAGGGCTATCTACACATAAATTAATTTTGTAGTGTACTTTGTCAATATATATTACATGCAAATGTTACTTATTTTGATAGTAAAACAAATTGAAAATTCCTAGATGACAGTAGCTTCAGAAAAAAGCCATATGTTATTACACATGATGTATAATCATATCTCTGTATTGTGTAATAACGCACTCTCTCTTGTTATGAAATAAAATAAAATCATAATTTCTGCTTTTTTTCTTTCAAATGTTTTCCTAATTTTTCCAGATGTTTTCTTGAAAATTGGACGATTGATTGATTGATTAATTGTATGTTGTTTCAAGTGCCGTTTTTAAGTTCTCATCCGAACAACCCGCAACTTTCACTTCAAAGTGCCGAGCGCGAAAGAACAGTTGCTACCTAAATTTTATCGACTTAAGTCAGTCGCAGCCGTGAATCGAACACACGACCTTCCGATCTCAGAGCGAGCGCTCTTCCGACTGAGCTACCGTGACGGTCAATATTGAACGAAGACTTTTGGTAAGAATCCTTTATCATTTGAATCATACCGATTTTTGATGATGATAAATTTCTGGTTGAGATTTTTCGCCGATTCAGAGATTTAGATTATAGTTTTTTTTTCGGTGTTAATTATTTTTCTTCATACTGGTTAACATAAATTATATATACCCTATATATATATTTTAATGGGAATCATTATCTTATCAGATTTGACTTAAAAATATTCAAGTTCAACAAAACTAAGACACATTCTCAGTAATAAGGAGTACTAGCCCATCAAAATACTTAATTTTCCTCACTTTGTAATTGCTTCCTGCTTTTGAGCCAATACATATTATCTCTGTCAATTGCACTATTTTTAATGTGAACTTCCTTTAGTAATTTTAATACTGACATTGGCGATCACCAATTATCATTTGACGGAATTTCCTTGATTGAGCTTGGCAAAGCTGCATTACCACTCTCAAATAGCGTTCCTTGTGTTATTTGAATTTGCATGAACAGATATTGGAATGCCTTAAAATTATGAAATACAACCTGATTACGATAAAAAAATCTTATTTCTTGATTCTTGAGTTCAGGAAAAAAATGTGTTATGTCAAACTTTGTTCTTTCACGGTGTATAAACTGAATTCTATTTCAGTGTCTACCGTCACAGAGTCGATACATTGTTTTGTACGTCGTACGGTATAGGGAAAATATTTTTGTTTAAAATTTAAAATATATATTGTTCGTATTGCTTTTGATGTAATCACCAGAAAAATTCCATATTATAACATTTAAACCAAAATGAAGTTCATTGAAAATTTTCTGCATTTCAATTTTTCTTGAATATGGAGAATGGCAATTTTCATCCAAGACGAGGCTTAGCTGTATACAGGTTTACAGACAATAAAACCTTAAAGAATCAATTTGTATAACTAAAATGAAGACAAACCAGTTTGTGTTTAAAATGTTTTTCTTATTTCTGATAAATATTTGACAATAAAATTACTTCTTCTCTGCATTGGCTGTGCAGGAACAGTGTTTACATTGTCACAACATCCATAAGACATATTATAAGAAATGCTGTATGTTTTTATAATTACATTTACTTTAATAATCGTTATCATTGTCACGGTATCTGCATGAACATAAGCAGTTTACATGAATATGAAAAATTAGCATGTTTTAGTAAATGACACCCTGCCCAATGCTGTATTATAGACAAAATTGTATATGGAAATATAAAATTAACTAATAAAGAATTTACTGTTTTTCGTCGAATCTATAGGGACTGTTGTAACATCCTCATTACTGCATCCATATGATACATTGCACAGGCGTTCATCACAATCGCATAAACCTTGACATTCTAACCCAAAACTGGGATATCTACAGTGCTGCGAACAGTTTATTCCAGAAAAACCAGGGTTACATTCTTCAAAAAAACAATTCTAGATTTTGTAACTGATTATTTTTTAATTTGTCATATGTAAAAGATATCTAATCTGAGAAGACTTTACAAAGATTTGTTTTCTAGTGTATTTGCCAATTTATTAAATTGAAAAAAATCGTTTTCTTTAATCATTTCAACAAAACAGCAATCCATATTCGACTAATGTTTGATATGATGGAATAAAATTAACCTATTAAAATGTTTGCTTAAGCAATATAAGACGATTTTGTTAATACAGAAACCTGTTACTCCTACAATCGCCTTTACTTTCATCCCAGATTTGGTCCTCAGGACAAATATATGGTGCTTTCCTGCACGATAAAAAATCTGCCTCAGTATTTGTTTCCTATTTTTTTTCAATCTATGCACTTGTTGACAGAAATTGTACTGGTATTTTCAAATTAAATTATGACAAGCATCCTTCAAACAACATGCACTGGAATGTCGTACTTACTTTGCAAATCCACTGATGATCGCAAATATAAAGCATACAGTGCATGACAGCGATATCAGGTTCACTTTTTGCCTTGCCATAGAATGAGTTGAATGAGATTTGTTTCGAGCAAAGTCTCCCAAATATCTATTTCAATTGATCATGGCTATTTGGTACTATTCATAAAAAGCAATGAGCGAAAATGTATCATTTAAACCAATTAGGAAATTGAATGAAATACTATCTGGTCGAGTTTCATTTAAAAAAAAATGAAATTACTAAGTATTGAAAAGCAAAAAATCATTTTAGCTTTTTGTTTGTTTGTTTAATGTCCCTTTCGATAATTTTTCACTCGAATAGAGGCGTCACCATTGCCGGTGGAGGGCTACAAATTTAAGACCTATACTCGGCACTCAGGGCCATTGATCAGTGAGGAATCTTTTTCGTACCAGCACTACTGTGACACGGGACCTCGGATAATATGGTCTCACTCGAAGGACCAGTCTCCAAGTTCCGCAGTGGAATTGGAATCTGCGACGTAAGGATTAACTTCTTACTCCGCGACTCTAGAGAAAACGCTCTAACCACTGCGCAACGCGCAACGATTGTTAGGATCTCCACGTAGAAGTATTTATATATGTTGTATATTTCTGTAAGCAGCATCCTTTTAATTTCTAGAAATGTCCTCTTGATCTATAACATTGAATTCAGCATACTCTGTTGAGATAATAATCATTTTAATAAAAATGCAGTGTATCTTGCTCTTATTTGTTTAGAAAATCTATTGACGTACTGTGCTACAGCATATTCGAGAAGAGGTGTAAAACAAATGTGAATCTTTTAGAAAATTGATATCACAAAATGTTTCAAATGTCAGTACATCGAAACGTATGACTTTTTATGACACCTTATAAAAGCATTCCTCGTGAAAATTAAAAACTAGGCTTTTTTATTTCATAGACAACTGCTACTTTAATAACAATGGAATTCTGTCATTTTCATAGCTTGTGATTGGTCAACTACAAAATTACTCAAAATTCACTCTGATTCTATACATTAGTACTCTGAGGTTGATATTAAAAGGATACTGGAGTTCCTCATTGACAACATCTATGCTGTCTTTGGAGACCAGGACTTCCATGAAGATCTATTGGAATTTCGATAGGCACTAATTGTCGACATGTTTTTATATTCCCATGAAGCAGACTTTATTAAAAACTTTCTGTATAAGAAAACACTAAATATGGCCTTCAGCTCGACTTTCAGGTATATCGACGAAGTTTTCTCAATTAACAATAGTTTTTGTCCCATTCATATATGGACTTCAAATCTCCCATTGAACTCGAAATGAAAGGCACCACAGGGTCTGCCAATTCTTTTTTTTTCATATCTGGAGATTTAACTGACTTTAGATGTTAAGGGCCAACTAACAACTAAATTGCATGACAAAGTTGACTTCTGCTTTTCCATCGTCAACTTTCCTCATTTATATACTTATATTCCACTATCTCCTGCATACGAGTTTATATCACCCAACTTATTCGATACTCAAGGCATGCTCTGAGTACGATCAATTTTCAAATAGAGGTAGTCTACTGACAGATAAGTTGATGTTACAGGACTTTCAAAAATCGTGCTAAAAGTTAGCATTTCGTACATTTTATTGTCGTTATAATGACCTTTTTCGCAAATAAAACATATCATTGGGACTATTTTGACTGACATATTTCATACCAATTGTAAGGCGTTTGTTTTAATACTAATTTTGAATATTCCATCTACCTGATCAGTACTTAATGATCAGGGTGGGTGTAACCGATCGACAGGGAATGCTTAGTCCTCCTAGGCATCCGATCCCACCTCCGGAATTTCCAGAGGTCCGTGTTATACGCCTTGTTCACAGATTTGTATGGATTGTAGATGTTTGAGATCGACCACTGTTCGTTAACTACATCTTCTTTGTTTAAATCGGACGAATATGTAAGGGTTATTCACCATTTCCAAACGTATTTGAAAAAATGCTGTTTTAAAGCCTGATTTAAATGGATAAAATTTTCTAACCCCTTTTGGAAAGAGTTGTAAATAAAAGCATTGGCTTTTCTACACTGGTTTTAAAATAAATAATCAATTACTAATGAACTCATTTTTGCATTCAAACAGGTTTTAATTACTAAAATGCAATATGCATCGAATTAAATGAGTGTAAAATGTAGGCGTGAATCGGGAGCTAACGTGTGTAGTTCTTGCAACAGAAGATACAATTGAAAAGACTTAGATTCATAGAGATGGAATATTGTATCCCCCAAACGTCCCATTTATTATATAAATATTTAAAGCTTTTTAAATATATATCGTTTATTATATTTGAGGGCTAATCAGAATTCGCATAAAATTCATCGCAAAATTCTTACACAAACTTGACCATATACTTGACCATATATATTAATACTTTGAGAGATTATATCTAAACTAAAGAAAACAATGAATTACAGACTTGTTACGGAAGTTATAACGTTCTGTTTCAAGCGCCCCGCGGCTGAGAAAAACCGTAGCTGAGAATATAGGTAGCAACTGCTCCTTCAACAAGCGCTCGGCTCTTTAAGTTAAAATTGCCGGATTTTCTGATGAGACCTTAAAAACCGGGGCTTCGTGTCACAGCAGGCATGATGAAGAATCTTCGCTGCTCATAGAAGTCTAAATATGAAGCCCTTCGGTATCTGGTACGTCTTATTTGAGTGATATACTCTTACAAGGAACTTAAAAAGTACAACACACAGTCAAACAATCGGTATACAGTGTCTGAATTGACCTTGCATCGATTTATTATTCATCAAGATGACATGAAAACGCTTCCCTATATTTCTTTCTTGTAGTCATAAAGTATATATATATATTTTATTTACATCGCCTAGTCATAACATGTTTGAAAATATGATAATTAATGAGCCTTTTTTCACTGTAGTCTCGATTACGTCAGAAATTGTTACCTGTGTGTACGTAATCAGCGGAAGACTGTGCTGGAATTCTGCTACAATGAAGTTAGACATATGGGCTATGGTTCAAAAAGGTAATCATCCCCTATGAAACGAGCAGGCAAACCTTTTGTATGATTATACATGTATTGAACACATAGCATTCTACTCGAAGATATACAGACTCATTCTTTTAGATAATAATAATAATAACAAAATGGTTGAAAAAAGATCTTTAGTATAAGGTATAATTATATACAAAAGCGCAGAAGGCTCATTCGAGATTCGAGTTTCGAAATACGAGATTCGAAATTCGAGTTTCGAGATTCAAGATCCAAACTTACCAATCAAAAGGCGGATTCAATAGTTGATTACTCTCCTTCATAAAGTTTTTTTCTATCAAGAAATCACTGAATATATTTATAACAAATGGGTCATTTGCTTAAATAATAATGCAAGAAAAAATGTTATATGTATCAAAACAAAATACAAATGAATTTTTGGTAATGTTTTGAAAATGTATATAAAATCTTATTTTCCTCATTAAAAAAAAACAATAGATACATATATAGAATATTATATGATCTTATCGGTGAAACGCGAAATTAGTAGGTCGATAAATTATTTAAGAAGCATATTGGTGAGGGAGAAATTTACTATTGATATGAAATACTAAGGATCGTCTTTATACTGCACAGTAATTAAATTAAGGATACATTTCATTACATTTAAGGGTGTATTTGTGCAGTTAGACTGATCTACTATTTGATATGGAATAAAATAAATTCCAGTCTGTATTGTATATATAATTCTTAATTAATTCATGTATTCAAAGGCCTAGACCAAGATAAGTAATTGAAAACTTAATTTTTATGATTTCTGCTATTGGGAAACAGTGGTTTATATTCCCTTCTGCTAATGTGTAGGCTAATGTGAAGTCACAGATTTGACCTAAAGCGCATCATTGCCGAGTTGCGGAATGGCAAGGAGGGAGTCGTCCCCTCTCAATAGAGAGGGGGGTCGGAGGTCTTCTGCGATCTTGGAGACATCTGTCATTGTCATTTTTCCAGTGAATATAATCATAAATCATTTAAACATATTTTTATGATACAGAAATTAAAATCTTCATGACCACTCTTAATGAAATTGAGAAATTTTATAATCCTTACACAGTGCTTGGAAATTATGGAAACTTTTTTACTGAATAATCTA